AGCACAAACGGAGGTGGAGTGGGAACCTGAAGTTTCAGCCACGGTTTGTGCAGAGCCGGGAGGCTGATGCACTGGTAGAGCTGTGGCGTCGTGGGCAGGCGGCCGCTGCGCTCCCCATCTCCCCATCACGCCGCTGCCGTCCACAGCGGCCCCGTCGCTGGCTCGTGCGGGACGGGCTGGGCTCAATGACTTCTTCTATTCAAAAAAAGAACCCCGAAGCCAAGCCCAGACAATCCCTGCTGAGGAGTGACTGGAATAAACTTGGTAAAAATGTTTTCTGAACGTTGGTCCATATAAATGAGACATATACCACTTTCTGTGCATAAATACCAAATCTGGTCTTGTGCATTGTGTTGCAGAAAGGCTGTTAGATGTATTAGCATCATTTCTAGCAGTCGCGTATCGTGGGCTTGCAAAACATTTTTAGCCACCTTGTGGCAGGAGAGTAAAGAGCAGAATTTTATTTAAGGGTCATTTCACAGACCTCCACTAAACAGCTGAGAAGAGTTACAGGCAGTATCCTTTCGCTGAATCACCAACAAGAAAGTTGCCTTTTCCTCACTTAATCCAGTTGGACACTTCTTACCTATGCTAAACCACCTAAGAGGAAAAGAAAACCACCAAAAACCAAATAAAAAATCTCCCAGCCTCTATACTGAGTGTTAGCTGCCAGGACAAAACAAACCCATTCAGGAGGTACTTTCATGAAATATTCATGCCAGAATCATTAAAATTTAATGGTGGGGGAAACTCGAGTGAAATCCCTATGTCATCTCCTCGAACTACTTCTTTTAGCTATGAAAGATGACCTGCCAAACCACTCCTGGGATCAATTACTAGTTGCTTCGTTACACGAGATGCAAAGATCAGAAAATAAAGTTACTATTTCAGGATCATGCAGGCAGAAGATGTTGTTAGGTGAAAATAAAAGCGGCTCATAACCAGCGCCAGCCAGCAGCCCAGGTTGCTGCTCAGCATTAGCAGTGGAAGGGCTGCAGCACTGTATCCACGTCTGCTCTCACCTACCGATGGATGGGGTTTCGGATCAGGGCTTTAGCTCTCCCTCTTGGGGCCCAACAGCTCCAGTGCAGTAAGATGAGGGAGGGGCGGCCATGGGGCCAGTCGCTGGCTGAAGCTGAACTGCTGCAACCAGGCTCTTTGCTCCCAGGTTGTGCCAAAACAAGACCTTGCTTCCCAAGTGGCTTCAAAAAAACCCATCATTTCACCATGATTCATGCTCCCAGGTTGTGCCAAAACAAGCCCTTGCTTCCCAAGCGGCTTCGAAAAAAACCATCATTTCACCATGATTCAGACAATTACAGGATCCTACCAGCTTCTTTCGAAAATAAAATAAGAACTAGCGTTACACCAGCTCTAGGGCTGTTTGCGATTGTGGCAGTAGTGGTTTTTGGGTTTTATTCTGTTGAAACTCTTTCTCCCAACTCAGAAAGTATCCATTTCTCTCACTCCATACAGTAACGTTATTTTCCCTTGAGAAAAATTCTCCGCCTTGGCTCAGTGACCAGATATAGTTACACATTAATTCTTCAGAAGTTTCTTAAAACTGTAGGAAACAGGTGAAAAAACAAAATGCCTTGAACTTTAAACTTGAGCCCAGTCTGTTTGAATGAGGCGAGTTTTAAGGTCACTCTTCACTCAATGCTAACTTTCAAGAAGGGCTAACATGCCAGAGAGGACTCCTGGGACTGCATCCTGTTGGTCCTTTGATGCTTTCATTTTGTTCCTTGCTATTTTCTTTATAGCACAGACAAGGGCTTCCTGCCTGGGCCGACCCCTTTCCAACCTTGCTGAATACCTCGGAAAAAGTTTATGGCAAGACACCTTTCTTACATTAACCACAGAGTCACCAGCGAAACGATGGCTCCTTTGAAATCAAAGAGGTTACGGTCTCCTCGCAGCAGTCGCCCGCTCAGAAACGGTGAGCTGCTGGTTTGTGAAAACAAACAAGAGTATTAGAGTAACCAGTGCCATGCTGGACGCTACCGGGCGATATCCGAAACGCCATGCAACCTACTTCACTGATGCTTTTCACTTTTGGATACTTTGGCTACTTTACAACCAAGAACTACGCTTGCGCTTAAG